AACTCCTGAGCTCAAACAATCCGCCCGCCTCGGCCTCCCAGAGTGCTAGGATTACAGGCGTGAGCCACCACGCCTGGCCTGCTACTGTCTTTTTAAAAGGTATGATTCCTTGCTGGATAATGGCAAAGCAGTTATTACAGCATCTGTGCTTCCCCCACTCCCCGCCACTGCCCTGTAGTTTAACAAAGAGAAGTGACTGGCTGGCTTATTACTTAGAAGCTATTTCTAAAGTACCAGATGCTTTGGATATCATTTTGATCTTTAAAACTAGTAATGTTAATCTCTTATTCTTATTATAATAAAGGGACCTTAAGGTAATAGAAGTTTCTCTAAAATTTTTGTAAGTAGAGGAGAGTAATAAAAAATGGAAAATGATGAGAAATGAGATTGGACACGCTTGTAAGGGCCAGATCAGAAAGCTGTTGCAGTAATCCAGGTAAGAGATGACGGTGACCTGAGCTAAGGTAGGGGCAGTGGAGGTGAAGGGGATGGAGGCAAATGGATTTGGAAAACACTGTGGAAGCAGGATCAACCATCCTTGATGACTGACTGTGGAGGTGCAGGAAAGGAGGTAGAGAGAGAAGGGGAATCCACCCTTCTGGTCATGCTATGGACCATATCGAAGTTGTTTTCGAGATCGCTGCTACTGGAATCTATAAGGCTGCTTCTACAGTCACTGAATTTTAGCTAAAACACCACCAAAAAAGCTGTAAAAACAAATAATTTTCATTTGTTCAAGTAAATTAACCTATGGTGGTGTGATAACAAGTAGCAGGATTGATGAGGTTTTCATACACAGTATTCATTCCAGTAAACTCCTTTAAGTCAGTCATATAAGGGGCTACCTCCTCTGCTTGCTCATAAAGTTAGCATTGCATCCCAGAATTCAGGCTGAAAGTATTCTTCTTTGGTCTTGCACTGCTGGTTAGCAAACTCCTTTAAAAAAAATCACACTTCAATAATTCTCAAATAAATCACCTACATACATTTAAATAGTACTTATCGAATGTCCAACACTATGCTAATAAACGGTTATATAAATATCTATGTTCATGTATAGATATCCATTCAACTAACGTGTGCCAATAACCGCTAGTGCACTGGTGCCTGTGGACATACAAGCACAGTTCACAGAGGTCTGCATTTTATGATCAATGTGTACTTATTTAGAGTTTAGAACGGGAGTTCAAACATGATTGGATAAATAATCCCAGTCACATTGTTTTATACAATACTTTATCCTCTGGAAGTATTATCTTAATTATGAACAACACTGATCTTTAAAAATTATTTCACACAATTAATCCTAGTGCCTATGTACTGGACTATGTATTCCTTTATTATCAAGTCTTCATAATAATTCTTGGAATCAATAGCATTTTCAAAAGTATGTAAGATGAGAAAAAAGTTTCATTATAAGGTAGTGGTACAGGTATGGGAATTCAAGTTTCTTAGTGAGGTCTCAAATACTGGGGACATGTTATACTTTATTAGACACTTTAAATTGTAAGTGTAATTCTGAGTGAAGAGGAGGAGAACCAAGATGCTAATAATCTTGCTGAATACTTTTACAGGGGTAGTATACTCCTGAATCAGAGCAGATTTGAACATTTTCGGCTAAGTTTGTTAACACATTAAAGCAAGTATATAAAATATTAATGACCTTCTATTATTGCCGAGTTAATATATGTCATTTTAATAATCTACATGTTATTTTTAATGCAAAAATAACGTTCAACCAAACTGATTTATTTGCTACTTTTTTGACGCTCTGAGAACTTTGGAAAAATCAGATGTAAGGGGACCCACAAAGAGGTGGCACTGCCTTTCTCTTAAACTTGACACAAAATATCTGCTAAGTGACAAAAGCTTTTTCTAAGTATATTTACAGTTTCTAATCATCAAAGCGTGATGACTGATGAAAAAGCAATATCCTAGAAAGCACGATGCTAAATCTTTACCAGACATCCTTAGCATGGGCAGTCATCATTAGAGAAGAAACATAGTTAAAAACTATGGTATATTTTTTCAAGATGATCTCAGCCAGTGGTAACAGGCGCTTTCATCTACTATTTCAACACAGTGATACAAATAAATCAAGGTTAGGCACTTTTGGTCCATTAGAGCAATGTGTCATTACAGCTGAGGTTTATGATCCTATATTATAAATTCCTTCAAGATAGAATATAGTTGTTTTTAAATGCTGTTTTGACTTAGTTTTGAGACCCTGGCTAGAGGCCAGTTTCTCTTCTGGAGCAACCAAGTCCACGACCCCAAGCGCTTCCCTTATTGGGCTTTAACACTCAGGGTCACTATACACCTGCCCTGATCACCCCAAGGCCAGGTAACAGGCAACCAGGAACAGCCCCTTTGCCATTGAGCCATTATTCAAATTAGCCAGTTCTAAACCTGCTTGCCTCGGCCTCATCTGTTCTTTCCTGCAGAAACCACAATAAAGGTATTTGCTCACTGGTCTCCCTTGTCCCTCTGCCATGTGACTGACTCTGGTGCTTCTTCCCCTGAGAGGTCCTGTGTGGTTTGTTGTGTTTGTCTAGGGAATTGTGAGTATAACAAATGGCAAAACTCTTTGCATTTTCTCTCTTTTGATCTGAATCTGGCCTCACCGTATCTCGTACAAGGTAATACAGGTAAAACGCAAGGGTATACCACATATTTATTTTTGTCGAGAAATAATGCTAAGATCAACTAATATTTCTTAATTAAAAGTAATATGTAGGTAATAAGTGCAACATTAGTTTTAATGACTCTGATGCTAATTCCCTGCAATAGTTCTGATGACTTTTGTAGCCACAGTCCATTTTAACTTCCAGGATGCTGTAACTGACCACAGACACATGAAAACTCTGTATGAGACAAAAGTTATTGGCAGCAGAGTGTTCACCAAGCTCTATCAATTGCTGTGCTAAATGAGGTGGGATATTTTTAAGAGAATATGTTTGGATCTAGTAAAGGCACATTAAGTTATTCATATTAATTGACACATTAAAAACGCCACCACAACTCTTTAAAAGCATTAAGCAGATGAAAATATAGCAAAAAAGTCCCAAGACGATTTTTGAATGAAAGCTTATAATGAGAAAAGCAAGCAGAATACTGGAGCATCAATACATTCTCTGCCCTGGATGGCATTTACAGTACCCCACACTTGGGATCTGGTTCTGTTACCACACAGAGAAAGGGGTATCCCTCATTGATCTGGCATCCCAAAGGAGTACCCCCTCAGTGTAAAGGTGAACCATACCTGAATCCATGCCCTTCCTCTCAAAGTCACAGAACTCTAGAGAAGCTACTTTGGTCACAAACAAAGCAAGAGAAGAAAAGAAAAAAATATTCCTAAGAACCTGTGGCCACAGACCACAGATTTAGCTCAAAGAACAAATACCTAGTGTAGGCCATAAACCCTACCCTTGGTTGAAGTGCTTACAAGCATAATGCTCTCAGGCACCTGGAAGAGGCAAAGGCAAAGTTTCTACATGGAAGCCCCACAACAAAAATTTTCATACGCAATTACTACAAACAGAGAAACCAGACAACATGTACAGGTACCAACATAAACACATATGTCCGATGGCAGATACTGGAATTATCATAAACATACTCTGAAATAATATCTACCATTCTTCAAGAAAACCATGACAAACTTGAAAATATCAGCAAGAGACAGGAGGTAATAAGAATTTAAAATAGAAGATTTAAAAAAAGAGCTAATTAGAACTTCTAGACATAAAAAATATCTCAAGATAAAAGCCCTTGGGCATGTACAACAGCTGATTGAACATAAAAGGAGAATTTATGAAATATCAAATAGATCAGAAGAAACTGTTTACAGTACAATGAAAGAAAAAAGTGGAAGATAGAGAGGGTGAGAGAAAAAGGAATGCAATGTAAAAGTCTAATACAATATACCTTCAATCAGAATCCCAGGAGAATGGGAGACAGAATCATGCAAAGGCAATATTTGTTTTGTTTTTTAAATCAACCTTTTTGGGATATAATTCTGGAAAATAAAATACAGCTACTTTGAGTATAGAGTTTGGTGAAATTTGACAAATGCTTATCACCCATGTAACCACAATCACAATTAAGATACAGAATATGTCCATCACTCTAAAAAGTTCCCCCATCTCCTTTGTAGTCACTGCCCCAACCCCCAATCCCAGATCTAGGCATCCATCAAACCATTTTGTTATTATAAATTAGAATTGCCTTCTGTGATAATACATTATGCACTCATCTATGTCTGGCTTTTTTTCATCTCATTTTTGAAATTAATCCAGGTTGTTGAATGCATCAGTAGTTTGTTCCTTTTTATTGCTGAGTGTTTATCCATGCACCTGTTGATGAACACTTGGGTTCTCATTTTCACCTATTATAAATAAAATACCCATAAATATTTGTATACAAATTTTTTGCATGGGTATGTTTTCACTTCTTTTGGGTAAATACATATGAGTAAAATTGCATATTCATATGGTAAATATGTTTAGCTGTAGTAAATTATCGAACTGTTATTACTGAGTTTTACATTTTAAAAAATAATCTGAATACAAGTCCTTTGTCATACATACTAATTTCAAATCTTTTCTCCGTCTTGTTTTCATTTTCTTTCTTTTTTTTTTTTTTT